AGTATTTGACATTTTTATACATTATATCGACATAAAATTATTTAACCAAAGGTTTCAGTAATCACGAGTCATTTGTAAATATGATAACCCTAGGATTTACCACATCAGTTGAAATAATGTCATGGATGTATTTTAGCTATGCACCTAATACTTGTGAAAACGTCATAAGACTTTTAGACCGCTTGCAAAAAACAAATAGTTTTGCTTTTTAACTAGAGATTTTGCCTTCAAGTTTTATTTGGCACAGCAATATTTTTAACGGTAATGAGGTTGGTTTCTCTCAAATACCACAACCACAACCATTGTCACCACGTGATTGATATGCAATGTCATCAACTGTTGTGGTTGCAACCAATTACGGTTGTAACGTAGGGCTAGATTAGTTGTAGATACATTAAATCAGCGTAAACAATTTCTTTAAAAAATATTAGTTTTGATAAAGGCCGTAAAACCATCCTTATAATTTTTCTTACCTTGATATTAATTTTTATATAAAACCTAGACTTTAGGCCTCTTATCAAGTAAGGGAATCCGCCAACCCCAATAGTATTTTTTGATTTAAACTAATACTTCCTTTTATTTTAACAGCCTTTTAAAAGAAATATGTAAAAAAGGTTTGAAATTTATGAGTATATATATTTTTTTACGGAGAAAAACTTAAATAACTTTTTTATTTATCAATACCTATCTAAAAAAGTTAACATTTTCAAGTATCTTTGAACCTATTGTAACTGAAATGGTATAACAACCATGTTAACACAGTGGTTACAAGAATTACAGATATTTTAAAAAAGTTAAAAAAATTACCCAACTAAAAAATTAATATATTTACTTTTAAGTGTCAAAAGTTGATTATGATATTATAAAACACGGTATTTGGTGATGTGCTAAATAAGCTCAAGTACTTTCTATTTTATTTAACAGACTGTTATAAAAAACATATTTTTTGAGAAATCGCGTCTAAGGTCCGTGAGCAGCTGGTGTGAGCAGTTTTCTCAAACAACTAGATAGATAATTATATTCCTATAGCTTAGGTGCACTATATCATACAAAATTTTAGTGTTTATAATATCTCCACGTGATTAAAATAACCATTTTAAAATAATACGATAATTTACTAGTAAATATGAAAAGCATGTTTTTTTTTTCAAAATAAAATTTCAAAGTTTTAAAATTGATTACTTTAGTTTTTTGGTCAAGGTATCAAATAATAAGTAAATATGGTCAGATATGCATCAAAATTCACAAAGATATTGTCAAAACATAAGCAAAAAAATACATTTTTGAGAATTGAAAAAAATGAAAAACACCCATTTTGTTGGTGGCAGATCATGCCAATATCCGTTTTTAGCATAAAGGTAGTTAACGTAAGGTAGTTAACTGAGTAGTTAACTGTGCTTTAAAATGTGCATGGATTTGAATGACTAACCAAACAATAATAAGTATTTTTTTTGTTATTTGGTTTTCACAGTATAGTATATACTTAATAACTCTTTAACTGTATCGTAAAGTTTTTAAACTCATATATTTTATGAGTTTAAAAACTTTACGATACAGTTAAAGTACAGCCATTTGACCCATAAATTATTCAAAATGATTACATGACAGCCATGTTATTAATGTCACATTTGCTCTGTTGCTAGTTATTAATGCTGTAAAATTAGTTCACCTATAATGTTATCGTCATTTAACGAGGGGAACTGCCATTAACCTGAATATTCTAAAGGTCATTGAATGTTTGTGGTACATACCAGTAACCTTTTAATATACTTCTTACCATCATTTCTGCTTCATTAAGCCTATTTTGCGACTAAAAGACAGTGAAGTCCTATTACGATATAAGCCTACTGGGCAAGCTATTGATGTCTTGGCTTACCTGCCCAAAACTCCACTGCTGAGTAACTGTGTATTTTTAATATATCCCAATGGTCAAATTCATTTGTTTACAAGTGAAATTCTTAAAGTAATAAAAACATTTCTTTTGTTCCTAGCATCAAACGTAAATTAGTGATTGAATGAAGATTATTTATTATTATTTTACTTAATGTATACAAGAGCCTTGTATATTTTTAGTATGAACCGAGTAACTAAAGAAAAAATCAGCCATTGATTTGCTGATCCTCTAAGCTTGTTTTAGAGGGGGCGTTGAGAGAGGTAAGGGAAATTAGGGATTTTATTATTCACGTTTCTCCCTGAACGTTGCTAAACTGCCCTTCCTTGCCTGAAATGTTTGACGTGGCTACATCAATATTTCTTCCTCACTCGAAACACCATTATAATACTGCCCTGCTAAGCACAGTTGTGGTAACTGACATCTGGGTAAAATTGAGAAAATGAGGGTAGTATATTTAAAACTATGCCCTACAGTCAAAAATTGACTTTAAAACATTTTTTTTGTCTCATCTTATGTATTTTTTAACGCTAAATCTTTTTCTAAAATTATTTTCAACATTAAAACATTCTAAATACTTAAGAAATTAGATAATGCTTTAGTTCTTATCAATTACAATCAAATATACTTGGCCATATAGTGGCAACTTAATTTTCCTAAGCCAATATGTTGTATCTCTGCAGATGCCACGAACTGGTCTAGCAAAATCATGGTTATTGTTTCAAATGCAACAAAATATAAGGTTCCCAAAATAAACAAAATTTCTGGATTGAAATATTTTTGACACTATGATTCTGTTTTGGCAACAAGTTGTTGATTTGTTTTTCTGGGAGTTGGAGAGGATACTGGTATTTAAATATATATGAATTATACCATTAGTGATGTTATTATAATTAATTGTTATATGATTAATTAATCTTCACCCTTAAATTGTTCAACTACCTACTAAAAGTTTTCTCAAATAAGTTAGAAAATTAAAATATAAAAAATATTTGTATTTATTATTAATTATTATATGTTAAGCAGGTGTTCTATCACTGTATCTAGTATCGCAACTATCACAAAGTTATCGGTAATTTATCACAAAAGTCGATAACTTATGCATTATGAACTTACCTATTCAAGTAATTCAATACTGTATTTATAATAGAAGCACTACATATATGTATGTTAATTCATGTAGGTTAGTACATAAATGGTATTAAATTATAAAAAATTTTATTATATAAAAAAAAATGCTTTATAAGAAGAATTAATTAACTACCATGCTTTAACTGTACAATAATGATAAACATATTTTTTTATTTTAATACTTTTCCAATTACCGGTACTTCATTTCATTTTCAAACAAAAGATGTAAAGCATTAAGCCGTAATATAAACATGAATGATAAAACGTATTCAGCTCTTATATATAATCCAAATTAAATGCAGGCGACTTAAAAAATTGCCAAAACAGGGATAAAACCCATTAATTAAGATTAAACATCTCATATGTAATCAAACCAATTAAACATTAATTTCAACATTGTTGAAACTTGTTTTTTAAGAACTACACAAACTATTGACTAACAGTTTTGTAAACAATTTTAAAATTGTAAAAAAATGTATTTTTAAATCGTTGAAACTTGTTTTTTAAGAACTAGGCCTACACAAACAACTGTAAAATACCGGTACTTTTGTAAACAATTTAAATATTGTTTGGAAAATTGTTTTAAAATTCATTATAACAAAACTAAGAATAAAACAATTTTAAATTATTTTAAAATAGTTACAACTCGTATTAAAACTTATTTTGTATACTGCATAATACTGATTGTTAAACAATTTAAAGATAGTTCCAATCTTATATTAAAATTGTTGTGTAATATGAAGTTTAAATCAAAATGATTTTTAATGGTTGTAAAACAATTATTGTAATACAGCTTTTGACAATTTTTATGCTCATTGGGGATCAACAATCGATGTTCTGTCAATCTTGTTTTGGGGAACTGATCCTTTCCTCCCATCGGGTTTTGGTGAGACACCATTTTCCTTATACATATCTTGAATAATCCTATCATTGGTTTTGTTATAGCCCAAGGTTGTAAAAAAATATGTTACTAACTTTTTGAGACGGTTTTGTTATGAGTAATTTCCATAAGTAGGTACATCTTCATTAAGATCATCAGATTGACCTGTTAAAATCTCAATTTCATTTATCAATACTACATTATCGGAATTTAGAAACCCCTTCTCTCCAGTCATAATTTATTTCATCAGATTGGTCTGTAAAAACTTTAACTTACAGCCTCATTTATTAGGCTTACAATATTGGCAGAATAAATGACCCCTTCTACAGAAAGGCTCTCATCATTTAATAGGCCTACAAGAAACTCTGTTAAAATGTTGATGTCGAAAATATACTATTATCAATATCACCAAGTGGAATGTCGATATAAAGGAAATTAAAATTATTATTTGATAATAATAGGTCACCTAAATTCAAAGAGACAAAAGCTTTGTTTCCAACAACACGGCATTTATAGGAATACTGGGCCAATAATGGGGATGATGCTAAACTAAATTGCCGTAACTGATGGATTGCTAAAGCATTTTGTGGTAACATATCATTCCTAAGAGAAATTGTTGTATCTGTCGTTAGATACAACTTAAAATACCCTAGTAAATGTAAGTTACAACAACTGCGCTTAGTAAAACACTCCTAAACTGCAGATACGGCAAAGAAAATAAGCCTTTTATAAATAAATACATCAACATATACGGCATATAAGGCTATTTATATGATCCTAAGTATGTGTAGAATCACATGGTAACCATATCTCATTTTCCCCAAAAATGTCAGTTACCACAACTGTGCTTAGCAGGGCAGAATACTATCTAATATAAGTGGCTTTTCACCACGCCCGCTCAAGTAATATTTAAATATTTTTAACCTCTAGACAAATCCCTTCTCACTGGTAGTATACATGAAACAGGGTACAAAGCTGGGTAGGGAGGAAGGTGTAAGACTGTAGTGGGTGCCAAGGGTACGGGTTTGGGGGGAGTTGGGCAGAAACTGGGAGGGTGGGTTTTGTGAGGTGAGCTTGAACTTCAGTTTCTCCGCGACCTTTCTGCTGAATACATCCCTACACTGACGGGATAGCACATTAAACACGGTTGGTAAATAATATAAGAAAGAAATTATTTGTAAAGTAGCCTGTTAGGTATTCACTTATTAAATAGACCATAGAGTTATGAAAGATGTTTATTAAATTGATAGTGTATATAAAAAGCATAATGTTAAAAAAAAAATTAAACATTTGATTAACTATTAAATAAGAAATTCATTTCGTTTAACTTATTTATTGCTTTCATCTTTTTACTAAAATTTTAAGGGGCATGATTTATTAATATAAACTACTCTATTACTATTACTACTTAAACCTACCGAACACTTACAATATAAAAATGTTAATGTGGCGATACTGGAATAGTTTATGAATGATAGGATACCCTAAATGGATACCCAAAATGATAGGACTATATTTTCAAGTGTCAATAACGATGTATACAGTTTAAAATAACATTTTAGCGTGTAATTACGCCATAAAGAAGTTCTATAAACCCCAAAATTATTTAAAATCAGGCCATGGATAAACTAAAATTAAGAAATGAACGACAAATAGGCAAATAGTAAGAGTACTTATAAAAGCATCAAAAATAAGTTCATATTGAGGGATGGACAATTTATGAACACATTTATGCGGTAACAGCAGACTGTAAAAGAAGCAATAAGAATAATCCTATTAGAGTCGCGGCTTGCTATCTTGTAATATTTTTGGGTTACGTGATGCATTTGGTATCCGAGAGAATAACAATATTTCGTTGATTCTTTCCACGCTAATGGTTAGGTTATTTAGGTTAAATGTATCTATATTTAATTTTTTTCCCATATTAAAAGTATTTTTTTGCCGAAAAATGAGGTTAAAAGTATACATGTACACACTCTAAAAATATAATCCGTTATAAGCGCCCTTATATTATTTAATATTGTACACATTGTAATATCTGGGCTTCTAAAACTGAAAAAACAGTCCTTATATTGCAAATGGGCCTTATAATAATACACGTGAATACCATAAGACTTTTACTCACTAGAAGGCTTCATCAAAGTTGAGATAAGTTTTTAAATTTATATTTACACAGTGTGCAATAAAACGATTTTGAATGATCAGCTTGTTTGTGTCAATAACAAAAGCAACAAATTCCCTTACTTAATAAAGGTACTTAATGTAAGACTCAATACAACTGTTAATAACATTTTTAAGTTGATTCAATTGGGATATTTTCCATCTTCAATTTTTCTTTTTATCATGCAAAAATAAACAAAAACATTTTATTAAATTAGGTACAGAGAATTATGACTCGAGTTCTCAAAATCTGCTTATGGAAGGGGCTTTGGAGGGAAGATGATTAAATCCTTAACGCCAAGTAGAACTTTCACTTAATTTCCAAAAATATTTTAATACCATTCAAATAATTCTAAATTGAATTAAAAACAATTACGTAAAATTACTGTACTTCAATTTATCACTAAAGTATTGAAAATAATTAACACCGCACGTGAAATGCCATTATTAGAAGTTAATAGACTTAATAAAATTACAAGATTGATTGTTTGCCACTATATTTCGTAATATTTAAGATATTAATTTATTTCATGCTTAATTTGCACGCCCATCGTAGAAGAGCACATTTGTTGAGCTAGTTGCATAAATGTTGTTGTGTATTAACTGTAAATTTCCTTACACCAGCTTGAATTTTAAAAGCCAACGAATTGAAAGTAAATGCTCTTAGTATATCGATTGACAGAAACATAGATGTTTTCCGTAGGATAGACAGAGACAAGAGCGTAAAAGAACACATGTGAATAATTCTGTATAGCGTTACTAAGTTTAGTTCTGCAATAAGATAATGATTTATCAATATTTATCAGCAAATGATATTGTTGTTTAAAATCTAAGATTTTTATAGGATTGGTCATAGTTTTAATTCTGGAGAAAGCTTAAATAGGGGCTTTGCTCGGTTACACGGCTAAAGAACATTTAGTTTTTATAAATAACCGTACAGTATTTATAACAAATTTTAAATACGACTAGTGTGATTAAAAAGGTTTCTTATTTTCTCTAAAATAACCAATCTCTGTAAGTTGTAGTTTTACCAACAAATATATTCGGATTAAATTATCGTTGACATAACTGCATTGGAACTAATATACATGTCACAGTGTTGACAAATCCGACTAAGTATACTCGATTTAATGCATGAATAGTTGCAGTTTTGTTGACACAATCATTTGCATAGTAAATTGGTTTTGAATAGCATTGGTACAATGAAAATAATTCATATGGACAAGCTAATTGGAATAATTTAATGAGAAAATCCCCAAAGCCATGCTAACATGTAATAGCTATTTACAAGTACAGTATAAATGATACAGTATAAATCAAATTTATAAGGCTTAAAAATAACATAATTTTAGTTTAAGCATATTTAAAATATTACAACATTTTATTTGTCTAACTACTCTACGTTAACATTCTGATCTTGAATTATTTAATAATTTGAAAAAGTATTTAGAAACTTAAATATTTAACTGACTATATTTGTAACAAGATTCATAAGAAAACATGGTTAGTTAGGCCTACTATATTTCAAATTAGAGTGTAGCCACTAAATACTGGTCTCATTTATTTATATTTCTATTAGTTCTTCTAACTTTAAGACAGTTAAATCAGAAATAAAATTCGGACTGACTTGATTTCAACACTCATTTCTCAAAATTTAGATTAAAAACATTTTGCGATAAAACGAACGTTATATCAATTTCAGAGCTAATGAAGTTCTAAGGTTATAACTAACCTCATTTTCAAGGTTAGTACAGCTTGAACAATTGTTAATATCTGTTTAAATCAAATAACGGTTGTCAGAATTATATATTGAGATAGGAATGCTAAAAAATACAATCAGCGATAAAACATGTTCTTGTAAACGAATAATGAATTAAAATTAAAATTTCTTCGAGTTAATAAGTTTAAATAATTTATTAAAACAATATAGCACCTTACCGTGTTTTAAATTGTTTTACATCAAAGGTACATGATTTCACCTTCCAGAAATTTGTGTTTCATTCAAAGTTGTTCCTATACATGGTTACAATGGATACTGCATAACCAATGAAAATTGATCGCCTAATACGCTATCCTCGTTCTTAAAATTAAAGTGTCTTAAAAACTAGAGTTTAATATAAAATAATTGTTAAAAAGACATAGTATATCACAATACGTTAGTGTTTTTTTTTACAAATTATGACATAATAGTTCTAAATGTGTACTTTAGTGTATGAGTTTTTATTGTTTTATGTCTTAATATTTTCTTAAAAATGTTATTTTGGGTACTAAACGCTACCGATTCATACCAGCGTTAACAAACCCACATCTACTTTTATCGTGTTTGATTTGAGGTGCTATAAAATAAATATTAAAGGCTTAAAAACGAACGACGTAAGCTAAAATACCTGCTAAGCCAAACAAATGTATTCATACAGTGCAATTAAAAATATGAGTAAAAAAAGTACACGTAGATACGATTTAATACGTTTTAAACGTCTTTTAAAGATACATAAATGTAGTAAAATCCTCTAACTACTATGATATAGAAATATCAAATAAAGTTGTGTTCAAAAAATAAATGATCGATTAAACGTATGATATTTAATCGAATATTAAGTCGGTTCTTTGTTTCAATATTACCCTAAAGTAGGCAAATATTTACTATTAGTTTTCTGATATTTGTGTAAGATTGGTTACTCAAGATATAATTCTCCACTTGTCTATTGTGAACGATTGGCAAATTCAGTAAAGGCAACTAAATGCTGCACATTTTAAACTTACCTTCAATAGTTATGTTTTTTTTTATTTATTTTTTATTTTTACTTTCTGTAAAATGTTACTGGTATGATTTTGGTTTTATTTACTTTATGGTAATCCGGTTACTTCAAATATGGAATCTTTGGGTTTTCAATTACTTAAAAAATATACCTTAAAATTTATGTCGTTTTACCAAGCTTTTATAATGTGGCTGAATGATCGTTATTCTAATAATTAAAAATATCTATTACTGTAATATCTCAAATAATATAGACTGAAATTGTTTACCAACTGTAAATTAAAATTTTACCACTACTGTCAATTAATTTATATTTTATAATCTTCAATGATTTTTTTGATGCGTTTTTGATCAATAATCATGCAAAAGAATTCCTGTGAAGTATCTTATGAGTTTATAACGTCGAACTTATAACAATTGTATTAAGGTTAGTTTAAGGTAAGCAACTTTTGGGCATCAAAAATAAAGATAAGGACATTTAAAATGTAAATAAACACACCTAGATGGTTTAAATTTAAAGATAAATAAAAACAACTAACAATAATATTATTTGTTTGCATGTCAAAACCATTGTTAAGTGTGACCGGTCAGGAGCTCAAAGCCCTTACAGATTTTATTCCACGAAAAAAAAACCAACTCAACACATTCTAATTACAAATGGTTGCATTTACATATAAGCAAGTGCACACGAGAAAAACTTGTATTTGCGCAAATAGTAAGCGGAAACATTTTATAAAACCTCAGATGCGATCTAATTAAAATTAATTAATAGTCAAAATGCAAGATGCAGAAAATTAAATACTTGAAATCTGCTGAAGAAGTAATCATTATCCGCCGTAGCAGACTTGTTGAAAGAAATGTCTTTGACAGAAAAATATTGTTTAATTAAAGCGTAACAGCTTCACTTTGAACCCAAAGTTCTGTGTAACTGGCTGGATTACGTGTTACAACTTAAACCGTTGTAAGAGTCATTGAAAAATGTGTACACTCCTAGTTCTTTCATACTGCTCCACTTAATATTTCCGTGTATTTCAGTCTTACTTCATTTAACGTAAACTTACTGTAATTAAAACTACAATGACAGTTAATGTTGGATGTTTGGTTTACCATTATGATTTTAATGAGTGTGATACTTCCTTATTCATAAGAAGTTCTATTGAAACAATTACATAACGTCCAGTTCAAAATTGATTTGATACTCAATTTACGTAATAACAAAATCAAATTA